TTCCCCATTGAAATTTGGAAGAGTTGCTTGGGAAAAGCTTGTTTCATAATCCATTCTAAGGTCCCGTAAGAAAAAAGCTCTAGATACCAATTGTTGGTTTTTAGAATCAAAGCAGTAGCAGCTTGAAGCTAAATGCTTCAGTATTATTGATTGTAAAATAATGAGAAACGTTACAATATTTAAAACTTGAAAAAGTAACTACCCACTCACATTTTATCCTAATTTTAATCCACTACTTCAACCCATAATTAAAAATTAACTAAATCCTAAAAATAAGGAACATACTTTGACTCAATTAAAATTAAAAATAAAATATTCCTAAAGCATTTTTTTAACAGTTTGTATCTAACTCATGCAATTATCTTTTCCATTTTCAACAGTGTCCATACAGTTTATCCGCTTGTCAGCTAAAGAGTTTGATTGGGCTTTTGCAATGACAGAGATCTTTAATTTTTTTTAAGCATAATTACTTTTGCAACTATCGATTTATAGAACAGTGCCTTATTTAAAAGAAAAGTTTAAATTTGAGATGTTATTTGATTTCTGTGGATGAAATTGTTTTAGTAGGTGTTAAATATAAAATCCGTCTTTTTCAAACGTAAAGTTAGGAAATAGTATCAAAATGATTTGAGCAAAATTTTTCTGGATCTGAAAAATACTTTTTCAGTTCTGTTTTGATAGAAAAACAAACAAACAAATTTATTTGATAAATGAAATTGGACACTTTTTTTGTTCACTACAACTAGATTATTCACATTATTTTTAGTTGATAACATACATTTTCGGAATTTGAGGCTAAAAAGAGTATGTTTTAGTAATGTAAAAAAAAATAAATCATATGAGTTAATGGTATAATGATATTATATCCAACTTGGAGGAAATTGTGTCGAAACTTATTTGGCCATGCTAGATTATTATTGAAATCTTGATTGAATTCCTATCTTCAATGGCCTAGAAAAGAAAATTCCAAAGGGATTGAAGTTCTTTCTACATTATGCAAAAAACTTCTTATTATTCTATGTAATCCAGTAGAATTTTACTTTCTAAAAACTTTACAAGAATCATTTGCTTCAATGTCCTTGAATAACTTTTACTTTATGGGTTGAAATGTTACTGATTTTACCGAAGTGGAGAAAAGACTCTATTGACTCCAAAGCTAAGGTAATCTGTTAAATCAAGCTAAAACTTTTCCTAAAATATGTGTGTTTTGGTTTGGAAGTTGTCTGATACCCTACATATGCTTGTGGTGTTCTGTTTTGATAACAGGGAAAATTACAAAATTATAATTATTGATAAACATATTTTCAGTATGGGAACAACAAATTCACTCTCAATTGTGTAATTTACTTTATAAACTAGCATTCATTAACTGATCTTTAACATCTTAATGTCAACCAATTAGGCTTGGCTCTGCTACTGGTGAAAAATTATGCTTGACTTTTTTAAATCCTCTTTTAATGCAGTTCTCTGGTATAAATGGGGTTCTCTACTATACACCTCAAATTCTCGAGCAGGCAGGTGTTGGTTATCTTCTTTCAAACCTAGGCCTTGGTTCTACTTCTTCATCCTTTCTTATTAGTGCAGTGACAACCTTGTTGATGCTTCCTTGTATAGCCGTTGCCATGAGACTCATGGATATATCTGGCAGAAGGTATTCATCTTGCCATTATCATTTTCTGTTGGTTTCTTTATCAAATAATATGAAATAGGCTTAAAGGGGTGGATGTCGTTGTTCGGATGTTTTTCATATGAAAATATTGTTTCTATTGCATGTCCCCCTTCATGGGTTTTTCTAAAATCATTCAGTGTAGAGTAGATGTATATAATAGGTGGCTTTGACTTCTTCACTCTTTGTTGTATCTAGCTTGAATATGTTCATGAGATTTTTGCGGGTCCCAATAGCTCTTTTAGTTTTTTGTTTTTCATCCTGTATAAGGTGCAATTTTCACTTATTCTATTTCCATGTTCCTATAAGAAACATCTTTTAGTTATTTTACTTAGACTTTTCTCTAGAAGTTGTTTGATGAAATACTGTTATTGCTATCTCTATCAATAAATGTTTCATTGCTGAAGTTACGCTGGTGTTGGGTACTTTAAATTTAGTAATTATTGCAGTTGCCAAGGATAATTTGGGGATTTTAACAGACCATCAGAGATAAAAAAAAAAGTTTGTTGTTTTCTTCATAATTTCAGAGGTGTCTGAAGATACAGACATAGGTAACTGCTTTGTAAGCTGTAAGGACTTATTATCTACTTGAATATCTGCCCTTTGTGCATTTAGAACCCTGGCAATGTAATTACTTATATCTTTCCCAGTACTTCTTTGTATTCTTTCAGTTGCAATGCATCTTGGTGATACCCTCTGCTTTTTCCTTTCTGCAGGACTTTACTGCTTAGTACAATTCCCGTCCTAATAGCATCTCTTATCATATTAGTCCTGGGGAGTTTTGTGGATTTGGGCAGCACTGCAAATGCATCAATCTCAACCATCAGTGTTATTGTATATTTCTGTTTCTTTGTCATGGGATTTGGGCCAATTCCTAATATACTTTGTGCAGAGATCTTCCCCACTCGAGTTCGTGGTCTCTGCATTGCCATTTGTGCTCTTACCTTTTGGATCTGTGATATCATTGTCACCTACACACTCCCAGTTATGCTCAATTCCGTAGGCCTTTCTGGTGTATTTGGTATTTATGCTTTCGTGTGCTTCATAGCATGGGTATTTGTCTTTTTGAAAGTTCCAGAAACCAAGGGCATGCCACTGGAAGTCATCATTGAGTTCTTCTCTGTAGGAGCAAAACAAGTTGAGGATGCCAAAGTACAACTGACCTAAGGCTAAAGATAAATTGAAAGTTTTGACGGTACCCGCTAATTATTTTAATCTACGGCTTTGTTTGAAAATTTTCCCTGTTTAAAAGTTTTTGTTTTCTATTATTTTCTCTTTTCCGTGGGTTGAGATTGAGAAACAAGAAACTTTGTTTCTGTAAAGAAAAAGAAAAGCATTCGTTTCCGGTTCATTTATGGAAGTTTGTATTTCATAGTTGTCCTACTATCCCGGTTCATTTATGGAAGATTGTACTTCATAGTTGTCCTACTATCCGTAGTTTGTACTTCATAGTTGTCCTACTATCCGTAGTTTGTACTTCATAGTTGTCCTACTATCCGTAGTGGAAATTGATCACTTGATTTCTCTAATATATGACAAAGATGGCTGGTGTATAATGACCGGAATATTTTTGGATGGATTCAACAATTGTAACGTCACAAATGTAAATTAATTGGTAAATGTTCTTTTATTTAAGTAACTTAAACTTGTTTATAAATTATTTGTAATTGACAGAAATTTATATTAATTTCACAAAATTATGAAGCAATTTGTTTTCACATCTTATGGATGATTATAGTTGTAACAATTTCCTTGGGATGGGTAAGGGTAAGGAAATTTATCCTATTAGCTATTTGGTTTTTATGTGAAAAATATCTGTGAAATATATTTTATATTTATTGATATTCAAGGATATTTTGTAGACTTTTTCAAAATTTTAGATGAAATTATTTAAAATTTACTTTTGGGTTAAATACTTTTAGATGATATAAAATTAAATTCAGCCGTGTTTTCAAACTATACCAAAATTTGGAGTAAGAATTAATAAAAATTAATTTTAATCTTAAATTTATTTTAAATTTAAATTTAAATTCAAGGACTGAAAATATATTTAATTATTAATTTTTTAAATTTTAATTTAAATAAAAATTAATATTAAAATATAATACAAAACGTTAATATAAATCTTTATAAAATTCAAATATAAATAAAATTACAAAATCAAAAAAGTTAAAATTTTAAAAACTACAAAATTTAAAAAATTACAAAACAGTCAAAAGTTATAAAAAGAGACCGATAAAATTATAAAATTGTAATATTATAATATTATAAAGTTATATACAGTTATAAATTATAAAATTATAAAGTTATAAAAGTACAAAATTCAAAAATTATAAAATAATAAAATTCCATAATTAAAAAATTATTAAATTCTAACATTATAAAATATAAAATTATAAAAATGTGAAATTAAAAATGTTAATTTAATTCTTATTCTGAAAAACATAAAACTATTTAATTTATGTTTCGAAAAAGTTAAAGTGAATTCCTTTTCTAAAATTTATTTTAAAACTTCTGCTAGAAAACTTCTAATTTTTTTTAAGTAATCCGTCCCTTACAAAAAATAAAATAATCCTTTCAAAAATTACAAAGGTTTAGTTAGAAATTATGGATGCAAAAAAATTATACTGCCTCAATTAATTGTAACTCGTACACTTCGAATGGTAAATTTTAAAGTTTAAACCAATGACATTTTTATTATTATCTGAATTAATTTTATTTAAATATTTTTTATTATTTAATTTATAGTTTGCATATAATAACTTTATTTCTACTATACAAAACTTAAACATATTTAAAAAATTAAAATTTAACTTAAATATTGCTTAATTTTAAATATTTAATATTTATATGAAATATTATTAAATAATTTGTAAATATAAATTTACATTTTTTTTAAAAGAGAAAAAGTAAAAGCATCATAAATGCAAGAAAAAATAGAGTATAAAGAAATTCTAATTCATAAAACTTTAAATTTTATAAAATAGTTAAAACCTGTTGATAACTTCTTTTGATCTCTTAATTTATTGTCTAACTATTAATTCGAAATAAACACACCATTTGCAATAGTTTTAAAACCTCACCTTCATACTTTTAAATATAAATTTTTTAAATAAAAAAAATCTCTTTTAATTTCTCTCAAATTCAATCTCCTCCGAATTACTCTCTTGCCCTCTTGCTCCCCGCTCCGCATTACTCTCTTGTCCTCTTGCTCGTCGCTCCCTGTGAATTGCATTCCATTAGCCGATGCTGCGTTTTTGTCTCACACCAGTGTTCCACCACATTCTTTTGACTTCTTCTACAAATAAAGCAAACTACGTATATGAAAAATAAAAAAAAATAAAAATTGATCCACTCTGACATAAAAATTCACCATCCCGTTTTGCTGTCACATGAATGGAGAGTAGGATACATGAGGTTAGCATGGCCAGGCTAGGACCTCAAGCCATCATAAGACAAAATCTGTCTCTACAAGATACCCGCTATGGCCACTAATTTTGTTCCAGTATGCATCAGCAAATAGACCATAACTTTCCTATGCCACAATAACTCCCGCAACACTTCCGTTCATATCTGAAGACAACTACTCTCTTACATTGTCAGTATTTTTCTTCTTCATCCAGCATTAAGACTCTTCGATCTGAAGTAGCTTCAAAGACTCTGGACCAATAAGGAATATACGTCGTGAGGTTTGATGTCTGAAAACGACTACTCCTTTATAGGCGGTCCTCGGTATTCCATCCTGGCAATGGACGAATGCCCCCCAAAAATGTAGGACAAAATTAGATCTATCCACAAGAAGAATAATAAGGCATGAAAAACCAGGGAAACATAGATATGTTGTATTACGCACGGATACACTACATATTATCCACATGAATGATCGTATGAAACCAATAATATATTCAACTATAAAAGTATACCCAAATGTAAGTTTAACCTTTGATTCAAATCACTACATTTACTATTCACTTTCATACCCAACCAACAAACATACCAAACGAATGGAAACTTCCAGGGAATCCTTATACCTTATTTGATCCAATTGGGAAAATAACTACCATAAACATTCCTGACTTCTGACGTAGAACTCAGCCTTCTAAAATTTATGGACACAATTTTAACCTGGATTTTTGTTTCAAATTTCATCCAGGACTCAGACTAGAGAGATCTCATTTTATAGTTAGTCCAGTGTATAATCTGCCAAGGCAGATTGAAATCAGACATAAAAAATTCAGGGCTCCAATTGCATATTATGATGCATTGCCTTTGTGAATTTAGAAACAAACAGTTGAATTACCTTCCACTCTTGAAATATACCAAATTGGCGAGCAATGTTTTCAAAATCTGACTGATCTCTATACTTGATACGCACATCACCATCTATATTATATGCCTTTAGAACCACGCCAGCTCCATAGACAGGTGTAGCTTTCTTAACAGTATTGGCAAAATGCATAGAATACTTATCCTGGAAATAGCAAAACAATTTACACATACCATTACAGCATCCCTTTACGTATATTCTCAGACAAAAACACAATGCTGCATCTCACCTCCAGTAAATAGCTCAGATCCATTGATCTCCAGTTAACCTTCGAATAACCCAAAGGAAAATAGCATCATTCTAATAATAAGAAACATATTTCAGACTGTTCATAAAGCGTGAGTACCTTGACATCATTCAGCTTGATTGGCTCCAGATATTGCTTAAAAAACTGTCCCAAACTAGAACCCTGTAATAATTACAGGACTTATAAATTTCAATGAACAAAACACAATCACAAGGATTTCAGAGTAAATGGGAAATAAAAACAGAAAAATAGAGAACTATGATATCCGTTTTGACCTTTTATAGCTCTCTAAATCATTTTAGTGAATGGAAGGATGAGCTACATTAAGGACAATGCAATTCTCCTAGACAAATAACAAAAACTAAGGAGAATGAACAGACAAAGCCACCCTATCCAAGAAATCACTGGCTGAATACAATAAAGAAGCTAAAAGGGAGTAGAGATGTCTGTAAGTTGTCATCAAAAGTTCTAGAAATACACCTTATAGAAGCACATATCCGACATAAGAAAATTATAATTAAGAATCATCATGAACTTTAGTCAATGGATATGCAACAGATAAACAACGTTATAATTAAAAATTCATCCTACTCTAGATTATTACTGAATGCATACCATCTGTAAAGAAAAAAAATTTAAGACAAGATTCCTATTAACAAAGAATAGGCACCTTTCAAGTAAAATCAAAGTGTATCCCATGGCACAAATTTATTTTAGTTTTCACCAGACCAATAAATATTTTTTAAACTGAGGTTCATATAAGATGAACACCTGCAAAGGTTCTACAGAAAATAACTAACAGGTATAAAAGGTCAATCTTCTATGTACAATTAGCAAACTTACATGCTCACCAAAATTATATGTTCTGCACACTTCAGGTCGGATAAACTGTCGCCCTTTGTGATTTTCTTTTAGTCTCAACCAGTCATCCCAGTAAGTGAAATTTTGTCAAAGAAAAATTTATGTACAATTACAGATTTACTGAAATTAAACAAGTGTGATTTCGAAATAAGGAAATCTAATACAAAGCTTGGGCTTGGGAGAGCCACACTACAAAAGCTAGCGTTTGGAAATCCGAAAGCCTTATAAATTATAAATAGGAAACAAGTAATTGGATCCTGTAGATATGTAATTTAATTCAATGTAAACACATAAAATATAGAAAGATGTGCAGCTAGAGATTTCGGAATTTATTCACTATTGTATCCTTATTTACAGCATAATTTCAATAAAAATAAAGAACAATGTGTCATGTTAGACACACATTTCAATAAAACTTCGTGATCATAATATCCCACCATGCTTCGTATACCTAACACTCACAAAGGATGGTTGTGCGCTAGCCCTTTGATTAGTCCCAAGAAAGCACTGGTGTCACCACCCTGTTGCTCAATTAGAATGGAGAGATATGATGGTAATTGAATGCCGTTTACAGGAGACGTGTTAGAAGTAACACAACCAGATATTCATGGCCCTTACCCTAGCTGGACTCTGATTTAACCTTGAAGTGGTGCACAATCAAATAATGTTTGGTCCATTTCCTCCTATGGTATGGTTAGCAAACAATCACTGGAAACGAGAAAATTACTTATACAAGATAAGAACTCCTTTAATGTTTATTTTTTCAAGTTGCTTAATCACTTAGTATAGCTAGGTTCAATGCATCATAAGAAGCAATGGTATCATAATTGTTCTCTTGATTGTTTTGACTAGTTATCTTTGCAATTCTCTGTATATAAATAAACTCGTTCAGCTGGGTGGAATAATAACTTGAGCAACTTCAGAAATAATTAATTCTCTTCCAGCATGGTATCAAAGCTTCCAATGACTTTTTTCAGCAATCATAATCCCTAGATACCTTTTGGCTACCGCCACACTGTCTGGTAACCTTGCCGGTGACTATCATTTTCAGGCAACCATTCCAGTGACCAATAACTTTTCAGGTGACTTCAGAATTTTTCAGGCACTGTTTCTTGTCACTGTCAGAACTTTTCTGGCAGTTTTCTAGCCACTGTTATATTTTTTCCTGTAACTATCAACCTGTCCCAAAATTCATTTTGCTTCAACTTTTTGGTGCTGATCACTGTTCTGCATGAACAACACCAATCTTTTCCAAGCACCCAATTGTTCCTCTTTTCTTTGTCTTTGTTCACTACAGGAGGTGATGTGCCTCCTTCCTACAAATCTCCATTGAGGAAAGCATTTTGGACATCTGGTTGAGAAAAAGAGAGCGTTGTGGAAAAGCATTCATGGCTATAAATAAACGGACAAAAACCATCTTTTCCACCGGAAAAAAAGTGTCACCATAATTGAATCCAAAAATATATGTGTAACCTTTGGCCACAAGACGAACTTTGAAATAATCAATAGTACCATCTGGACTAACTTTGATAGCAAAAACTCACCTGCAACCAATAACAGATTTCCTAAACATGGTAATGGGACGTTTCATTATTTTGAAGAGGACTTAGTTCATCTAGCATGGCCTAACGTTAACCAGGATAGGCTAAGGCATCACTGGCAGATTTAGGAATGGACACAGAAGAAATAGACGAAAGGTAGGCATAAAAAGGTGAAGATAATTTATAGTAACTCAAAGTAATATAATGTGGAGAAGGGTTATGGGTAGAACATATACGGAGAGCAATTGGACAGTCAATCTCAGTTGCCAAAGCATGAAGAGACAAAAGAGTTGACACTTGATTTGATCCACTTGGTGATTATTGGGAACGATTATAAACCTGAAGTGGTGGTGAAGGAGTAGAATCTAACAGTACACACTAGGCATAACTAGAGGAGCACAAACAACATGAATATTGATTGTAGTAGATGGAGACACATAAGAAGAAGAAGGACCCTTAATGTAAAAAGAAGAGTAATAGAAGGTGACAGCGAAGAGGAGGTGCCAAAGAGGAGGTTTGATGCACTGCCATACGCAGCAACAAATATCTCAGATCCGTGTCTTTGAACGGTGTGTGAGGCCGTGTGGTAGTCGCTTGAAGGCAATCCGATTGGTGGGGTCACTGACCGCAATAGTGGCTCTGGTGACAGCGACTCTGATGGCCATTCTGGCAACAACTCTAGCCGTTGTTGCAGTTACAACAACAAAAAAATACACCTGGAGAACCTAGCTCTAGATACCAAGTTAAGAAATAAACTTTAAGCCTAAGTCAAACTCATAAAATCAGTTTATAAGGTGAGGTTTTCACCCACTTATATATTATAAATTAGCCTAATCTTTAGTCAATGTGGGACTTCCGACAACCCCACTCAAACCGAGGCATATATATCTCAAGCGTGGGACTAGAAATTAATGGGTGATCCGATTGCAGCCCGATAGCAGGTGAAACAATATACCCAACAAACAAAAAATTTCGCTAGGATAGACTCCAACAAACTCAGATACCATATTGAATATAATGAAAAACTAGGTATAGGATTAATCTACTTTGTGTAGAAAATAAGCATAAGGTACTTTATTTATAATCAAGAAAATATGGGCTAAGCCCAAAATACAAATAATGATAGGAAAAAAAATGATAACAGACAACCAGAAGATAAAAGATAAAAGATAAGATATCTAAGACATCCATGTAGGATGTTCGTGCCTAGCCCATAGACTTGTCTCATGCAAACCTACAATGCTACTATCACCACCCTCATTGCTCATTTACAATCGAGATACATGATGGAAGACTCTAATACCAATTAATAAGCACTCAAATGCTTAAGAAACCCCATCTTAAATGCTAGCTATTAAGAGGAGAAAACTAAATCACTTAAGTACTCCATAATACCCAAATGTATCAAACACTATGACAAAACAATTAGAACTTGACATGACTGTTGTACAATTTATCAGGGAAATAGGCTATGTAGTCCATACTAGCCTAACAAGTCTCACCTATTAAAGCGGTTTTTGTGAAATTGAATTAGATTTTAAAGCCAAATTCTAGGATAAAATCAAAGCCTATCTTAGACATGCTATTAGACCACTCACATTATCTGCCCTCCAAAAGTCTGTCTAGGTGTAAAAGGATGTTATTATTGGGTCATTCTAGTTCGCTCATGCTCTAAATGTCCAGTCCTCGGAAAGGTGTGCATTGAGATCTCATTTCAACTAAAAATAAGACCAACGTAATCCTCTCAAAGTTTTAGGTAGTCTTCATTTTACAAGTCAATTTTGTAGAGTAATGTTGTAAGCCCAAATTTTAAGAAAGTGTATAAAATTATTATGGTGAATATTTCCAATCTAAGATTTTATTCCTAGGCCTAACGGGGTGCTGTTATTAGTTGCTTTTGTCTATGCTCCAAATGTCAAGTTTTAGGTATGAGGGAGCGTGTAAAATCCCACATTGATTAGATACACAATAGATGTAATCCTTATAAGGCTTGAATAGTCCTCACAATACAAGCTGGATTTGAGGGATTAAATTAGTCTTTAAATCCAAATTCTAAGAATTATAATTCCTATGTGATAAATACTTTTACCAAGATTTCTTCGTTTGAAATCCGCCAAAAAAGACAAATATGGCAGACACCAACAAGAACAACTACTGAAATATCAAGGATATGCCCTAGGCCATTTTGGTGATAACTCATCCCATATAGATCTGGCCAGCATCCATCCTAACCCAGGAAAGAAATCTGATCGGTACAGTTCATCTGCAAATTAGAACAAACAAATTTCATCAGAATGGCAGCAGTAATCTTCTGAGATATCTTCTGTAAAAATATGATTTGATCTTGTTAATCAGGGAAATGTGTATCATTGATAAAAGTTAACAGTGTATGTAGATGATCTCGTTTTTACAAACTCGTTTCTATCCATGCAAAATTATTAATGTGCTGAAAAAACCAAATAAATATGAATTGAATTCCAGTACTTGTTTAGTGTTCAAGTGAATTTAAAAGAAAATTGTGACCATAGAAGGCAAAGGCATGGAAGCTATAGGCAAAAAGTAGACAAGGAGGTCCCAGAAATACCATTGCCTTTAAAAAAAGCTTGATCCCTTCAACTAAAAGATCATGTCATCCTCAGCATTATTTATTATTGTATGAAAAAACGAAATTAAAAATTTTCGTACACAAAGCATTAATCATTTGCTTCTATACTAGATTTCCCCTGGGTTTCCATCTGTGTCAAAACCTCTTGTTAAAGGGTCCACACATTCATTCACTAGAGATGGAGTTACAGTTTCAGGTGCGGGTGTCAAAGAAAATGGATTGACACCTGTCATTGAAATTTTCACCTTTGGAGACAGCAAGGCCCAAAGCCAGAACTCTAATACCATTTATAAGAACAAAAAATAAAATATTCTATTTCTCTTGTTCCTTTTGAATAATATGGCCACTGATTTATAGACAGAATCCGTTTTAAAAAGGAAATTAAATCTGCTGCAATCAAGGAGAAATATCAGAAAGTAAAAAATAGCCTATGATCATAATTCAGAATTTATTCAAATCTAATTCTGAACACATTTATTACCATATCAAATCAAGACATGAATTAGAAAATAATTGATAGAAAATTAATGAAACCTACAGATGAATAAACTTACATGGATCATGTACAAATTGCTTTTGTCCATTATCATTCCACGAGGAAACAGCCATAATAGACCTAGAATAGATTAATTATGAACAGAGATCCCAAAGTCTTATAAAACTAGCATAACAAATCAGAAAAAATTAAATTAATCATTCTGCCCTTATTGAGCACATACTTATCCTTGTCAAGGAGAGTTGCTGCAGCTTCAAAATAATCAAAGAAATCAGGTGCTATATCCATGTCATCTGAAGATTGGATGAAGTTGTTGCATTAGCTTCCACGTTTTTACTAATGATAAAAAGAATTAAAAAAATACATAATGTAGAAAAGATATAGCCCATTTCACCTTCAAGGATGATTACTCGGCTGAAGTTATGCTTGTAGAACAGCTGATCTAAAGCCCACTTGTAATGACCTGATAAATGTATCAATTGAATATTCCTTTCAAATAGAGAACAAATAACACGAAAACAGAAAAATACTCTTACGTGCAATGTTGTAGTAAGCAATTAACTCTCCTGGTCGTTCAGTTTGAACTTGTTCAAAATCCAAGTGCTGCATCAAACTAATATTATTAGTACAGAGAACCTGTTTTTTTCATTAGCAAACTATTAGCTCCGTCAATAACCACATATATAAAATTATTGAGATCAAAATAACTTTAGTGATTGTTCTATATCTCTACAACATCACTATGCTAAGAAATGAAACCCATCTGTATTTCTATTATCCAATTTAGGCTAAAGAAACAGACTGCTTAGGAAATAAGGTATCTTGGCTTGCACACAAATATCTTATTATTGATACTGAAGAAACGTGTTATTAGCTCCAGGATTTTAATAACCATGCTAATTTAATTTAGTATAATTATAAAAATTAAGTTAATCATTGATCATTAACAGATTTACAGAAATAAACACAACTATAGCTAACTGTCTGTTTACACACATTAGTATGCACAACACAACATGTAATTGGCCTTTGGAATACTGATCTGATTTTCAAAGTTCAGCTCATTTATATAAATGCATATACCTGCATATAAGATAACTGATCATAGTTCAAAGCCGTACTTTTAACATCTGGATTTGATCCATCCTGAATATATAATAAAGGACTACAATCAGCTATTTATGTTGTATTAATATTTTTTGGTTCACAATCAGCTGTTAATGTTGTTTTTGCATTTGCATAACATTGACAACTTTTGAATAATTTCATGGAGATAAAAGAAACTCCTTCAAAGCGGAAACCATAATGCTAAACAAATAAAATACCTGAGATACAAATAAAGGAAATCTTGAAGAAATGGGCCTTTGGTGTCTGTTAAAATAAGTAGATTGTGGCTCAGACAGACAAAACAAAAAAGTTGTTGTTATAATAAAATAAAGATCATATGTTTATAATTCCATATATCAAGATCATATTTGTATTATCAGTAATGTTTATAATTTATTCTAGTATCATACACTTAGTAACACAAAAAAGCAAATCTCCTATTTCTGTTGTACTGATTTTGTTTTCTCACTATTTATAAATGACTCGTGTTGTCATAAAACAAACAGTTTCAGCTCAATACTACCCTTTTCCTTATAGTTTAACGTCACACATAGAATCTCTGGAAAACTGTGTTTTCCCATGGACCCTGTCTTTGGGTGGAAATTCTTTCTTGGTTAATCCTTTTTGTTTCTCTCCAGGTTCACTCACTATTCCTAATAGCTGTTTTTAATGTCTCCGACGACTTTACCAATGACATTTGTTTTCTTTGGTGACCACATTGTTGGGATCATGTTGTACCTATCTATGCAACCATACAAATACCTGCACAAAAAACATGCCTATGTGCCCTCACTCAAGCATCTTCTCCATGTAGTTGTGTCTCCCTTACCAGCACATGCAGCAAGGACTGAGGATCAACAACCTCTTACCCAAGTTGCCTTATCCTTGTTCCTATACCCTTGTAGTTCTAGCTACGTTGAAGCTAATTTGGTTGCTCAATCTTCTTTTTCATTCGCATACATTTTATTTTTGTATTTTTTTCAGTTTTTGAAAAATGGATTCAAGTACCAACCCTACGTCTGAAACATGTTTTGTCATCTTCTCTAACCATCCTCTTACTATTGAGAAGATAGACGAGTCGAACTATTCCATTTGAACTTCTGAAATCCGGAAATGGATCAGCGGGTTAGACCATAAGTCCAATCTCACCACCACAGCTGAATTTGTAATTGTATGAACGTTTCCATTTATTGTAGTTTGAGCTTATATAATAGTCATGCACTACTAAACTTAGTTATTTTAGAATTATGGAAGTATTGTTTCCTATTTTAATTAATTATGGTGTTAGAATGTTGAATAGGTATGGTATTGTATTTATTTTCTCATATGACGCAGACTCTTACAAGTCAGGTCCACAAGTCAAGTCTAGAGATCTTCAATGAGTCTGATAACCTTAGATATCACCACTAGATTCATCAACTCAAGTGAATAACTGACAGACATATTCACCAAGTTTCTATAAGAACCAGAGATCCAATCACACTTATAGCAAGCTCAACACATATGAATCACGTTCCAGCTTAAGAGGTAATGTATAATTATACAATAAAGATCGTATCTTTATAACTATACATGTCAAGATCATATTTGTATCATTAGCAATGTTTATTATTTATTCTAGTATCATACATTTATTATTGGAGGAAATCAAATCTACTTTTTATTGTATTGACTTCATCTTCTTAATATAAATAAATCACTCTTGTTGTCACAGAAACACAAGGTTTCAGCTCAATACTTCTCTTTTTCGAATAGTTTAACAATTGTATTATCAAGTATAAAAGATTAATAGATCAAATATGTTATACTATGATGCATACTTTAACACAGAATTAATAGTCCTCTCCAGGTAATCAGCACGATTACATGCAATGATCACAACAGCAGCCACCGGAACCTAAAACGTTCAGCACAAAGAATCATGGAATAAACTCTAGAAAGAATAGAAGAAGAAGCAAATTGTCAAACATTCAGCTCAACCTGCATTTTATCAGTCAGCCTCTGTAGGTCTTTTCCTGAAATATTTATCCATAAATGGTAAGTATCTTGGATATCTAATATAGAAAAACACCTCATTAGATTGTTTACAAAATTCCAGAAATGGTGAACAACAGATATGTTTGTATTTATATAAAACATCAAATACTTGGGTAAATCCTAACAACAATACTCAGCATAGTGCAATACTAATCAAGTCTAATTCTAAAGGAAATGTCAATACATCTTTGGTATCATACTCTGGTGCAAGCTTTCATGTTAGTAACAGCTTCAACATTTTGATGGTCCATATCATGTTTTCATCGATAATGGTGCAGGTTTAAGTATTTGTGCTGCTGATTATGATTTCACATATTACTCTTCAACTAACCAATTTGTTACGTGTCCCTTCCATTATTAAAAACCTTTCAAGTATTAGACAATTAGCCAAAGATAATTCAGTTTTTTTTTTAATTTCATTTTGATAAGTGTCTTGTCAAATCCCAAGGAGCGAATAAAGTTATTCAATGAGTTGTTGGTGTTGATGGACTTTATTCATTCAATAATCTCCAGATTCACAATCGCTTCTCTCAACTGAAGTTGTCCTGTCAATCTCTTACCAATAAAGTATGAAACTTTACTATGGAGACAAGGGACAGGTATAATCAAACCAGCACCTTCCCTATTGTCATCCCTACTCTATAAGCTTATTCAAATAAGCTACAAGAGTTTAAAGAAAGATAATAAGACATCTTCATAAGCACAACCATATAAGCTCAAACACCCCCTCAATCACATGTTAAGTACAAGCGATTGAGAAAGATATCCACTACCACCACCACCATTCAAAAAGAGAATGATCTTATTATTTATTATAACATACTTTCCAGATCTTGTACAAGAGACTTCATTTGTCCACATTCTTGGTCTCTACGTTTCCTCTCTTCTGAAAGAATCCAATACAAAAAAACCAATTTAATTTGATAAAAATATTATATGCAAAGGAGACAAAAGATCAAATAAACATGTAATCCAAAATAACTACTAATAAGTATAGGCTCATATATTCAACTATTAAACTTTGTTACTTAAGGAGAACCATTCTTTTGTCACAGAAAGGGCCCAAAGGCCTAAAATAAGAAACAAAAATATTAATGAAAAGCCACAACAATAGTAACACCCATAACATCCCCCAAAAATATCTCATGTATGTTTCCAAGGATTGACTCCCAAATATTAAGACGGTTAAGAAGTAGACTTTAAGCCTAACTCAACTCCACAAAACCGACTTGTAAGGTGAAATTTGCACCCACTTATATACTCTAAATTGGCCTTATCTCTAGTCAATGTGGAACTTCCAACACACCCCCCTCACGCTGAGGTATATACATCTCGAGCGTGAGACTAAACATTAATAGATAATTTTTATTATTCTTGAGAATAAGAGAAAAGATACAACAAACAATTTATACTCAAAGATACACAATAATCACAGAGACAGTTAGCATCCATCTGGCAATAGTTGGCAAATCTAACTAACTTCAACAAATTGCTAACTAGCTCCAGACGAGGCAGTGGAATAAATGCTCCTATATACAGTATTCACACACCTCCCACAAACTCAAGGTGGTTGGTTGTTTGTTGAGAAGAAACTCAAGCACTTTGAGTTTGTCACTCAAGAACAGAAAGCCAGTTGGGGAAAGTGGCTTGGTCAAAGCATCTTCCATTGATCCTAAGCTGGAATATGTTGAATAGATAGTTGCTTGGGCAATACTTTTTCTCTGACAAATTACTAGTCAATCTCCATATATTTGGTTCTAGCATGTACAACAGGATTATAAGCAAGACCTACAGCACTTTGATTATCACATAATACCTTGGGAGTAAGAAAAGTGATCCCAAGTTCACTCAGAAGAATTTGAATCCATAATATTTCAGAGGTAACTTGATCTATGCCCAGAAACTAGTCTAACGAACCAAGATGTTATAGAGAAAATATGTTACTTAGTTGATTATTAAGAGACTGAACAAGTTCAGAAGAGCTCGCTATAACAATAATATCATCAACATTGGAAAGCAAGTAGACAGTACATTCTTTGGTTTTGTAGATAAAATTTGAAGGATCTTAATTGCTTGACTTGAAACCAAAACAGAGCAATGCTGATTGTAGTCTTTTGAACCAGTGTCTAGGACCCTGTTAGAGGCCATAAAGAACTTTCTTGAGTTTACACACCAAAGATTTATCAACACATTCAAAACCTGGTTGTTGTTGCATGTATATAGACTTGTTATTTTCATCATCATATTAGAAGGAAAAGTAATTTTGGTAGTAATGTAACCGTGGCCAGCCATTTATGAGCATACAACTTCTGATAAAATAAAATCCCTTATTTGTACGTAGAGCAGTCTGGTCATCCTTAGTCCACATCCTCATTCTTCATCCATAAAATTTGATAGAACACCAATCAGTGGCTTTTGCAACTGAATCATAGAATTCACACAATACAGAAAAAGGATCATTTTACCAAAGTCCCGTGACTCCTACAATTATTCTCAGTCAAAAGTCCAAACCTACAGAACTACACCACTCACTACTCCTTATTTCACATACTACACATTTATTTGATAATACATAACTGCTCCTAACTTTTACCGAATACTGAAAACATTACAGTCTCTATTACACTCATATCTAATAATTCATATGTGCTCTTGACAAATATTACTGGTTCCCATCCTATATTCACTAAGATTCTGGAACCGTATGAATTCATCTAGCTTTGAAACCTGTTCAACCTCCCCACAGAAGGACTATCATGCACACAATGCTCCTATCAAGTGAAAGCTTCCACCAAATCTCCATCCTGCTGTAAAAAATTTGATACTTCTCCATCTCTTGGCAGTGGCCTATCTTGTCAACCTTTTGAACTAGTGTCCAGATTTTCTGCAAGGAAGACAATAGATTGAGTCATGATGCCATTGGACTCCATCCTGAACCTCCTCCCTCTGACTTTGAAAGACTAGCAGAGGTTTAAATGGATTAACATCAACTCAAAGCCCAGTAAATCAACCTATGATTTGGTCCACTGTATTGTTGACTATTTTCAATCCTCATCGTCCTCCCCACCCTATTCCCCGTACAGCAGAGTAATAGTTGGGTAATACTGCGTTACCAACGAGTGCAGGAATTGCAACCAAACTACTAGCTAGAAAATGTCACCAGAGATTGGGTGTACATTCCAGAACAGTCAGATAATGTTCATAGATGAGCCATAGGCCACAAATCAACTCATGAGCTTGAATATTCTGGATTGCAAACGTCACCAGGGAAAATTCATGTCCCCCAACCAATTAACAGGGTTTCCATATCCTAATCACTGCAATATTTCCCTCCAGCATTAACGAGTAGACCGAAGGAGACAATTTTAGTAATAATCACGCAACCATTCAGGACGATATTCCACAATTAACAAAAAACAAACCTTCTAAGGCCACAATTCGTCCTTGTTGCAAGCTAATCTGGTCAATCAGTGATCGCATTTGACTTGTACAATGGTTTTCAGCTTCAATCTGTTAAACAAGGATCAGCCACGATAATAATGACTCACCAAATATTAGATGTGGAAATATCGAATATAGATTTATATGAGAAACGGAGGAGTTCAGTTACAGCTGCAGCTAGGCGATCAGCATATCCTGATTGTGTTGCGAAAAGCCTCATCTGAACAAGCATAAACAACATGTTAAATTAACAGAACCGTCGAAAATACAAAGTTAGGGTTAGAGACACAGACAACACCTGGATATAGATGAAGATCCCGGCTGCAACCAAGAGGAGGAACCGAAAATCACAGAAAACTTTCGCCATTTGCTATAGCACAAACACTGAATTACTACGCAACAATATAGCAGGTTTTTCAGATACATTTCGTAAGAACAATTTCTATGCATAGCGCTCAGGTACCTGTAACTCCTTCAGTCAACTCAATTCCCAGACGATGAACGATGATCCAATTGCCTAACTTGTCGTCTCGGGTAGTTTTTAGTTTTAGGTTTTAAAACTTTTAAAAATAAAATTAGGTGATATGAATAACTTCTTATTCTTGGAAGAAATGGATATTTTATATTACTTTACCCTTTTTTATTATAATTTTAGTCTCTTTAATTTTTAATAATCTTTCATATTTTTCTAGAATTTTGGTGTTAATACTTTAGAAATCTACTATGTTGATTCAGTTCTATATTTTCTGTGTTTTATTCATTTTATTCTTATCCAATTGAAAATAGCTCTATTATTTATGGTGTAAAATTTCTTTTTAAAGTTATATTAATAATAAAAAATTTAAGCATTTATATAATTTTTTTTTAATTTTTAAAATAAAATTTCTCTTTTTAGAGAAAATCAATATATATATATATATATATATATATATATATAATGCGCGTACATTTTAGTAATGTGTACCGGGTTTTAGTAGACAAAAATATCTTTATATATGATGCTTATATATCATGGATTCTAAGTTTTAAGGTTAAGGGTATTTTAATAATTTTCATTCTCAAAACTAAAAAAAAAAAGAAACCCCCAAAACCCTTACTCACCTCTCTCACCTCTCTCATTCCTCTCAACCCTTTCTCTTTCATCTTTCTCATTCCAATCTTTTTTCTATCCTACTGTAGTCCCAAATGAAAAAAATCAAAAATAATTGTTGTTAAACAATCTTACAAAAAAAATGATTTTATAATGAATTTTCATCTTATAAATTTTGTCTTATTTAATTTTATCCAATTTTCACAAGCAGGAATTGGTAATTGATCTGGAAAAAATCAGAAATACTCGCTATTAAACAATTTCTTATAAAAAATGATTTTATAATGAGTTTTTATTTTATAATTTTTGTCTTATCTAATTTTATCTATTTTTCACAAGCATGCCATATTGGTAATTTATCTGGAAAAAATCAGACACACTCGTTGTTAAACAATTTCTTACAAAAAAAATGACTTTATAATGAGTTTTCATTTTATAATTTTTGTCATATATATTTAGAGATGATAATTCAACATATGCAGATGAAATTAGAAAGGTCAGTAAAGATGCTGAAATTGAAGGGATGTTGTACAAAAGCAAATTATTTAAAGGCAAGTGTATCTAAAACACGTTCTACCAATTCTAGAAGCTGATTGGTGTATTAGTTTTGGAAAATGACACTTGAACAACCATTTTTGACAACATTTAGACACGCGCACACGTGTCAAAATCTGAGTGGTCCAGTTGGAAAAATTAAATGAAAATGGACCACTCAGATTTTGACACGTGTGCGCGTGTCTAAATGTTGTCAAAAATGGTTGTTCAAGTATCATTTTCCATTAGTTTTTTTTCTTTCTTTCTTCTTCTGTCTTGCACTACTCTTGGTTTCTAAACCTAAGTTGTTGGACTCTGGTAGTAACCGGAGTCACAACGATTGGAAAGGGACTTCGCATGTGGGGATCTCTCGAAGGGGTTGTGACGTGTGGAGGATCTCTACCCCGCATTATAGCAAACCCTAGATGGATTTTTTGAAGCAAGAGTTTTCAATCTCTAGCGCAAGACACCGACGACAAAAGTAAGAGTCTTCAAGCGCTCTAGAGATCCAATAAAAGGAAATCCAAACGCTTCGGCCTAAACGAGGGTGCACGAGGAATGGATCTAGCCAAACACTTCTTCATCAAAATGAAACACGTCATCTTCTTTCCCAAATCTCTTATCAGTGGTGGAGCTATACGGCATTGCAGCAGGCCGAGAGAGATTATTACTCTCGCAACCTCTAGAATCACTTCAATTGCGGAGTCACTACTCTCCTTGTTCACTTGTCATGACGGAGCATGGAACGGATGGAAAGCAAAAAATGTACATGAGAGGATTTAAGAACTGAGTATTCTTGTTTTTAAGAGATTATGAGACTGTTGAAAATGAATTTGGAGATAAAGTTTAGAAAAACAATACTTTGACACGCTGAAAGTAATTTACACTCATTTGACACGCGGTGGCCCATTTAGTGTCAATGTGATTAAGGGTAAATTTATCATTGATGGTGGGCTGCTACTGCACTGGTTTGGAAAGAAAATAAATGGAACGATGCGTTTCAGTGAAGGAAGCTGCTGCATTAGCGTCTCTCTCTGATTTCAATTTTTCAAAAGTCTACCATTTCATTTTGGAAGAAGAACTCTTCGTGCAGGTTAGGGTTGAGAGAGAACGCGAGAAAGAAAAAAAAAAGGAGAACTCTATGGCTCCCACTTAACCGGAGGCTGGACATGATCGGAAGAGTTCCAATCGGCAAAGTTATGATTAGTGTGGAGCTCGAGAAAAGAAGGTCGACCTCTCTATCAGAAGTGCGAAGTATGATAGGTTTGTCCCCTTTGTATTTTCTCCCCTTTCTACTGTTTGAAGAATATAAAATATAAGCACTTGATAATTGAATCAAGTTGTATGCTTCTTCTTCCTTTCTTTTTTTCACATCATTTGTCTATGTTTCCTTTTCTTTTTGATTCATTTTCGAAAACCCTAAAGTAAAGGGGGCAAGGGTGTGAGACAGAGAGTTGCGCTAGGGAGAACGAGATACATGAAATTTGAACCAAGGGGTTGCAGTAAAGAGGAAATCGAACAAGTATGAGGAGTTAAACTTTTCCGTTTTGTGATTGCTATGATGTGAGAAGCTTTTATGGTAATTCTATGTCTTTTTGTTCGGATTCAGAATGAATTTTTGTGTCTTACGTTAAATGGTATGCTTGGTACATTGGTCCTGTCTTATATTTTTTATTTGAGGATAACATAATGTTTTTGGTTGAGTTTTTCTTGGCCATGCGTTATTGTCGCAAACTTTTTTTTTCTTTCCATAGAACCAATTCTTTTCTCCATTTCTGGTTCTATGATAAATTGCAGGATATCGAAATTTTAGTGCATTTAAGAATAGTTTTTCTTACAGTAGAAAACATAGGTGTTTATTTTTTATGACTGTTATGCAATTTTGATCCTGTACTACTTTGTTGTGGTTGTTTCATATATATATATATATATATACTTAATTACTTTGTGTAAGAAAAGAAGTGTTTCAATTCTATAATTGATGACTGCGCTAGTATAGATTGAATCAGTGAAATTTTGGTGTGGTTGATCATTAAGGGTTTACTATAATGGATGACTGCGCTAGTAATGTTTTATTATCTTTTGTTTTTTACTAAAATTAAATATTTTTTTATTACTTTATGTTTTGACAAAAAAATATATGTTTTTGATTAAACATCAATTATTAAATAATAGTTGATGGCTAATATATGTTGATTTAATTTACTGAATTATAATAAAGGGGAAAAAATACTTATCCTCACATAATACTTTTTTATAGATTTCAAAATTTATATGAGAAAATAAATGTTAAAGTGTTTAATTTCTAGTATTTAGTTAATTATAATCTATAATAAAATTTAATAAAAATGTTCATTTTAACTATATTTTTAATTTCAATTATTTTATTTTTTAAAATTAAAAAATACATCTTAAAATATCTTTTAACAAATTTAAAATAACTAAAAATTATATTTGCTAAGTCTCTGTTCAGAAAAGGGAAAATAGATAGAAAAATGAAAAAAGAAAAATATGTGAAAAATAAAATAAAAATTGTTTAGTTAAAGAAATTAAAAATTGAAAAAAATATATTAATGCAATTGCTATATAAAAAAAACTAAAATAATGACAACTTCATCTATTATTAATTTAAAACATAACATAATATGGAATCGATTCCAAACTTTTTGGAAGAAATCAGTTACACATTAAAGTCGATTTTTTTCTCCTTCATCTACAACATCATGGTTTTTTAGACCATCATCAAAGTTGTATTAACAATTTGACACCACTTTTTGGAAGCTAAAAAAAAAAAGCTCAACAATTTGAAAGCTTGATTAACATATGGGGAAGTCCTTCTTTGCAATGTCTGGAATCAGTAACAACAACATAAAAAATAATGTAGACATTCTTGTACACATATTGAGAGCAGAACTTTCTGAGACTAAGAAATGAACATTCTGCATTTGAGAGAAAAATGCTAGTGAGAAATAAAAAGGTGCTGCTGAGAGAAACAAAACGTGATTGAATGTAAGTGAGATTGGTTAACGAGAGAAAAGGAAAACCATATATTGTGAAGATAAACATATGCTAACATGATAGACATCCTCGGAGCCCATTTTCCTTCCTGTAATGGCAATTTTCTTATTTTGTATTTTTTTTTTTTGCAAAAATCTTGGTAGCAACAGTGGCAATACTTTCATTTGTCTTCATATAGATTATAGATAGATTATAAATATATTATGGATTATAAATTATAGATATAGATTATACATAGATTATAAATATATATAGATTATCTAAACATTACTTGATTCTATACTAAGAGAAATTCAATTTTCTTTTAAAATGATCACATGCACAACTTTTAATCCTATATATATATATATATATATATATATATATATATATATATATATATATATATATATATATATATATATATATATCCAAAACTTTTCAAAATCAAAGAGTAAACAAAAGTTTTTCTAAAAAAATTATGATGGGATATATTTTTTTTGTTCTATACAAGGATTCTTAAGATGAATTATGATATACCAAAGGATAAGTGGATTCTTAATAAAAATATATTAAGTGTTCTTTGAAAAATAATGAATTTTGTAAAATGAAATTTGATAGTTAATTTTTTTTCTATGTTTATATTTAAATAATAAAATATTTATATTTCATCACAATTATAATGTCACTATACTTAACTGCATGTCATTTTAAATGCTTAAAAAATTTAAAAAAAATCCAAAATTGACTAATGGTATATAATTATAGACTTTTGTTTAACTTTAACTAAAATTGAAAAATATACGTAAAGGTAGAGTAAAATTGTAATTTAGCATTTTTCATTTCAATATAAAATTGTTTAACTTTGGTCCAACAATTAGACTAGTCTTACAATTTTTACGGGAAAATAGAGAAAAAAAATATAAAAGTAAAACTGAAGGATTAAGATTAAGGAGATTTAAACAACAGCAAAC